TGGCTTGTCACATTATCTGGCCCATGGTTCAGTTCAGTTCAGTTACTCAGTCATGTCCAACTCTTTGCAACCCCATGAACCGCAGCATGCCAGGCCTCCCTGTCCATCACCAACTCCCAGAGTCTACCCAAACCCATGTCCATTGAGTTGGTGATGCCATACAACCATCTCATCCTCTGTTGTCCCCTTCTCCTCCCACCTTCAATCTTTCCCAGTATCAGGGTCTTTTCCAGTGAGTCAGTTCTTCACATCAGTTGGCCAAAGTATTTGAGTTTCAGCTTCAGCATCAGTCCTTTCAATGAAAAATAAGGGCTGATTTTCTTTAGGATGGACTGGTTGGATCTCCTTGCAGTCCAAGGGACTCTCAAGAGTCTTCTCCAACACCACAGTTCAAAAGCATCAGTTCTTTGGTGCTCAGATTTCTTTATAGTCCAACTCTCACATCCATACCTGACTACTGGAAAAACCATAGCCTTGACTAGACAGGCCTTGGTTTGTGCTTGATAAATGTTAGCTCTTTTATCCTCAGAGTCAAACTGGATTCCAGTGACTAGACATCTTGTGGACCCTTAGGGAGAAAATACATGTTCGTTGAGCATTTACTGTGTGCTGAGCTGTTTACAACCCACTGTCTCATTTAATCTTCAGAGCAACTCCAAATTAGTTTATTAGTAATTCCTTTGAAACTTGACTCTCCTGAGGCCCATGGAATTTATGTCTTGTACCTAAATTTCAGAGAGAGTGCTGGGACAAGCAATGTCCCTGTGCTCGAATCTGAGCTCCACAGAGGCAGTGGGCTGTCCTTACTCAATCTCCACACTGCTTATGAGTAAACTCTAGCATGAGGTCTTCTGGAACAAATACCACTTCTCTGTTGCTTCTCCCACTGCCAAGGTGGTATTTCAAATGACTGCTCAAACCAGGATTGGAGACTAAATGTGCACATGTGCCATGCTAAGCTGCTTCAGTCATGTTCGACTCTGTGTGACCCCCATGGATTGTAGCCCGCCATGCTCTTCTGTCCATGGGATTCTCCAGGCAAGAATACTGGAGTGGGTTGCCATCCTTCTCCAAATGCGCTTATATAGCCCACAAAAGCCTAAGCCAAAGTATATTATGAAGGCCCATCTCTCTTTGGTACTCTGTAATTTTTCAGTTTCAAATAATCAATATGGAAATGTTTCTAGAAAAATAGTAAATATTCCATTGAGTCCCAGACTAAAGATTTAGCTTTAATTAAATAGACTTATGGGGCTATATAGGACCTTAGCATTCTATCCAGAATCTCCTGAAATGATTAAAGGCCAAATACTTGGAAAGGCTTGATTTGATAGAAGATTTCATCCTTTGAAGATAATGGACTAACACAAGGAGATGATGCTATGGAAAAATTTCTCACCAGAAAACAAGAATTGGTTGATAAAGTTGAGATTATCAGAACTCTCAAAGGATGATTTCATCTCTTATAACATCAGGGTTAGACATCAATGACAGACTTTATTTTCTTGATCTCCAAAATCACTTCACATGGTGACTGCAGCCATGAAATTAAAAGACACTTGCTCCTTGGAAGAAAAGCTATGACAAATGTAGACAGTGTATCAAAAAGCAGAGACATCACTTTGCTGACAAAACTCCAGGTAGTCAAAGCTATATTTTTTCTAGTAGTCATGTATGGGTGTGAGAACTGGACCATAAGGCTGAGCACCGAAGAATTGATACTTTTGAATTGAGGGGCTGGAGAAGACTCTTGAGAGTCCCTTGGACAGCAAGGACAGCAAGCCAGTCAATCATAAAGAAAATCAATCCTGTATAGTCTCTGGAAGAACTGATGCTGAAGCTGAAACTCCAATACTTTGTCCTCCTGATGCAAAGAGCTGACTCATTGGAAAAGACCCTGATGCTAGAAAAGATTGACGGCAGGAGAAGAAGCGGGCAACAGAGGCTGAGATGTTTGGATGGCATCACTGGCTCAATGGATTTGAGTTTGGGCAACCTCCGGGACATAGTGAAGGACAGGGAGGCTAGAGTACTGCAGTCCATGGAGTTGCAAAGAGTCAGACACAACTTGGCGACTGAACAACAAACCATCAGGGAAGAGAGTTCAGTTCAGTCGCTCAGTTGTGTCCGACTCTTTGTGACCCCATGGACTGCAGCACGCCAGGCTTCCCTGTCCATCACCAGCTCCTGGATTACTCATGTCCGTCGAGTTGGTAATGCCCTCCAACCATCTCATCCTCTGTCGAAATGACATCCTGTGAAATGACATCCTCTGTCATTTCTTGTCAGGGAAGACAAGGCAGACCTCAAACATTCAGAACATAGGTCTGGAAAGAAAGAGATTATGGGAAGCCTAGGGCAAATTCAAACACATTGTGAGTTTGTAATGATCAACAATTCCAAGGCAGATCATGAAAGGGATAAAGCTATGGAGAAGAGTGAGGGTGCATGGGAAGATGTCAGAAGGGCTCAGCTTTAAAGATCATGAAGGTAGGATGGAAGGACATGGAACCAAAGGATCAAGTAGGAGACTGCTAGAGAGCTGCTTCAGGACTCAACAGAGCACAGACCTAAGAGACTCACTGTTGCCTGGTTTTATTTCTTCCTCCCATTGTTTAGCAACACTGACTGAGCATTCGGCCTTGCCAATAACTGAACAAAAGACTCTCCCTCAAGTTTGAGCTTGAGTATTCGGTGCTCAGTACTTTCTGATTCCTTTGGATCGAGCCCATGCATATCGTCTTCATTTCTGAGTCGTGCATCTATGGTCTCCTTTCCTCTCTGATAGCTAGGCCACTTGAGTTGTGCTTTCCTGAATGAAGTCAATGTCTGTGCCCGTCAATGCACAATTGTCGTTTGTGACCTTCCTGAGGTTTCCTGTTTCCTCCTAATGCATTAGAAGAACAAATCAATAAAGTCTGTGTCCCAGTACCTTGGGTAACTGCCATGCTCATGGTGACATCACCACCCAGGGAGACTGTGGAACACGGTGGAGTGCTGAACCCCGGGAGGAGTGGGAGGACTGGACTGGACTCATCACAGCTTTACACACAGACAGTGAAACTGCTCCAGGCTCCCATGGAAGCACAAAGGCTCCCCACCACGTGGTGATTTGTATTCAGCCGCAGCCCCCTCCCTTGGCACCAGGAGGATGGGGCCCCAGGAGAGAACTAAGGAAGAAGGAAGGGGCTGTTGTCCTTGACAAGGAAACGATTGATGTCTCTGCTTTCTCACCCTCTTTAAACTGAGATGGGGACAAGATTAAAAGTTCAGGCAGGAAGCCAACTGGTGACTTACAACACTGATCAACCAGTCTAATGCAGGAAGAAACCTGTGGCCCATCTCTCAAGAAATGAGCTGCCTGAAAATTGGAAAGTTATTCCATGCTGGCCAGAATTTAAGCCTTAAGATTTTATCATGGCAATAATAATAGTAAGAAATGTTAAACCTTACTTATTAAAACACCATAGGCAATGTTCTGTATTTCATGTATATTACCTCTTTTATTTCTTACAATGACAGTATGAAGTAGGTATTCCCATTTTATAGATGAAAAAACCGAGGCTTAGAGAAGTTAAGACGTTTAATTGAGATGACACAGTTCGCAAGGGATAGAATCAAGAGTCAAACCCAAATCTGCCTGACTCCAAAACACTTGAAACTTTATCATATCACATTGTGTGATATGATCTGTCAAGACAGACACAGTTGAGGTACAGTCTGAAATGGGTTGCAGCTACTTGTTCAACTAAGAGTTCTCTGGGACGTAGGAGACTGCATTACTCTTCTGTGACTTGGGTGCCCAGGATGATGGAATATGTTCCCTCAGGCTTAGAGCACCTCAGACTTCACCTGTGGGAGCCTTTTCCGTCCCCTGTCCTGCCTTTGGCTTTGCGCCCAGGAGTGAGACCTCTGGGAGTTACTAATATTTTCACAAAAAGAGCAAAGCCAAAAGTGGGCTGAGGGATGGAATCAAGAAGAGATACTGACAAATGTGTCTGCTGCCAACACCCACCTCTGGTGCAAGTAGGGAACGAGGAGTCAGGATAAATCAAGGTCCAGGATCAGATCAATATATCTAGGATGAGAGTGAGTGTAATAAAAATAAATTGAAGGTAGATCTGAGATCAGAGCTGTCAGGAAGAGACAGGTCGTGATGAGACAAGGGGAGGGAACTAGAAAGTAGCTAGTACTAAGAACATGATAACTTACATGAATAGTTTATGACCACGCAGGGCTTCTCTTTAGAAAGTCTCACGCCCAGCTTTGAAAGGAAATCTCAACTCATCTTAAAGGTACAGTCCCTGAAACCTGATATCTGAGAATGTCATCTTCCTTCCCCCTTATGGAATGGCTGAGACTTATTTGTAAGGAAGGCACACCCAGTTAACGCAAATGCTTAGAACACTGTAGTGAAAGGTCAGGCACGCGATCAATCCCCATGAGAGCCAGTTAGGTTAGTGCTGTCTCAATGTCGTATCTCTGCTTTCAGCCTCAGGCAGCTCTCTGGGGGAATAAATGCCATTAATCAGCAGGGGCACCAGGCAAGTTCATGTGGTCTGTGCAACAAAAACTCATTCTTTCTCTTGGAAAAGATCTCAAAGCTCACGGTGAATCGGCGGCAGGCTCCTTTTATGAGGACAGCACAGCCTTTGGGGGCTTATCAAAGATCATAACTATTTCATTCCTCTCCAAAGGGAGAGCAGACTTAAGATATACCATGATTATTAATTCATCTTTATGCAATTCATAATATATTTAATAATATTGGGTTGGTCTTTGCACTCCCCTAATTAAATTACTTTGATTCGCTCTTCTTACACTCAGGTCCAAATAACTAGACATAAACACAGGCAGTTTATTCTGCATTGCTCAATCAATCTCATTCTATTGAAGGAAGGAAGGAGACAGAGAGAAAAAGAAAGGAGGGCGAGAGGGGGAGAGAGAGAAAGAGAAAAAGAAAGAAAGAGGCTTTAACTCTTTTCTGTGCTAACACAAAGCAAGCTTTAGCAAAAGTATGACCTCTGAGATCCCAAATGAACTTGCCTTCTTTTAACCTGGAAAGATTACATCTTGGGCCTTTTCAGTGTCACCATGTCTTCCTTCTTTCCATTTGCTCACCCCTGTTTAGTCAAGTGAGCTTCATCTGGTATTTTATGATTTGAGTGGGTAACTCTTCTGATTCTGAACAAAGGACCATACTTCATTCTGACAATTTGTCCCCTCCAGGCTTTCCTCATGAGTGGTTCCTTCCCAACCTCTTTGGAGAATGATGGTGAAAGTCTATTTATTCAGTACTCCTCATGGGTGAAGGCTCTTCCAACCTATAAATAAAACAAATTTAACTTTTACAGGGTTACTAATGCCATGGAGAGATAAACACATGAGCTGGCTGCCTGCTGGCTGCAGGGATCGGCCCAAGGATTTTCAGAAAATAGCCCAGGGCTCTTTAATGTATGAAGAGTCTTTTATTGTGATATGAACTTAACCAAATAAAAAACAATAATAATTCCCTCTTTGTCTTAGACTTCCTTACTAAAAATAAAGCTGAAATTGATTATACACTGAGACTATGATGATTGAAGGATTTATGGTCATTTACCACATTTGAAATTGGGGAAGAGATCTCCCGAGGATAGAATGCTGGTGAAAGTTCTATCCGTGCACTAGAGGTTATTTAATGGAACATTTGGTTGTGGTTTAGTTGCTAAGTCATGTCTGACTCTGCGACCTCATGGACTGTTTGCAAGCCCACCAGGCTCCTCTGTTCATGGGATTTCCGAGGCAAGAACAGTGGAGTGGGTTGCCATTTCCTCCTCCAGGGAATCTTACCAAGCCAGGGATCAAAAACCACATCTCCTACATTGCAGGTGGATTCTTTACCACCAAGCCACCTATCAAATATTAACAGTATGTTTAAATTGTTACATCAGAACATTTAAGGTGATAGAAGAAAAAATAAAATACTACCCCTATCCTTTAATATAATTAATTAATGGGATCAATAATGGCTTTCTTTTTTAATGTTTCACTGTCAAAATGTAATTATCACTATTATCATGTAGAAGATGGAAAGCAAGGGAGAGTGAAATGGAAAGGACATTTGGAATCAGATGGACCTGTGTTCAAATTTATGTCCTGGGCCCCACTAGCTGAGTGACCTTGGGAAAGCTCTGCTGAAAAATGAAGATCATAACTGCTTTATAAGGTCATTGTGAAAAAATATGATGTGGGTCATCACTCAATAGAGTGCTCAAAAATTCAGTTCCCTTTCCCCTTCCCAGCAAATAAAGTCTTACAATAATGCAAGGGAAGAGAAAATTTAAATCTGGAGGATTCTGGAAGGGTTATGAAAAGAGGTAGCATTTTATCCTGGGAATGGGTAGACCTAAGAAATTAAATAAATTTCTTACAAAGAAAAAAAATAAAGAGTATGGATAATTTGGGGAGAAGAGTTTCCATGATCAAAGACCCAGAGTCAAATAGTTGCGAGTCTCAACAGGAAGTTAGGAATTGAGGAGGATACAATTTTAGAAAGAAAGATGGCTTCAGCAAAGGCCAGGATGTTAGGTAAGAATTGCTTGCATTTATAAAGGTAACTGAAAAAAAGTAGAGAGTAGTGGGAGAAATAGGAAAGGTGGGTAAAATAACACTTACTGAGGACCTCTTATGTGCCAAGTATTCTGTTCCCTACTATATAAATCTTATCTCAATTAATGCTCTCAACATTCCTGAGATATGAATCATAATGGACTTAGACAATTTCAGTCATGTGCTAAAGTTGTATAGTTAGTAAAGGACAAATTCAAATCTAAACCTATGCTGCTCTACATCCTTATTCATTCACTCAGCCTTTCAGGAAAATAAATATACTGGATCTTGCAGCCATGTAAGCAAAAATGACAGAAGACTGAAAAGGAGATTGTAGTCAAACAAAAAAAGAAAAGGAGATGAGTGGATGGACAAATAAATGCAAAGGTGGATGGAAGGCTAGACATATGGATAGAGAATGAATGGATGGGTGGATGTTGGCCAGAAGTATTGTGGAGGTAATGTCAATACAGTGAAGGGACTGGAAAGAATTAGGTATTAAATATAACTTCTGGTTCCAGAACATCTAGTAAAATCTGACAGCATTAATGAAGACAAAACACAGGAAGAAAGAACAAGTTACTAAAAAGGGGGAAACATTCAGTGCTGTGACTCAAAATAAAGTTTTATGGGAATTGTCTGCTAAAACATTGTTAAATGTGAATATTCTCATCAGATGCCCAGAGCAGCATAGATAGATCATCTACCTTGTTCAAGGGGTGGGTTTCCCTGCCAGGGATAGACAAGAAGGCTGATCCTCATCTGGCAAGGGATAGGGGAGGCGGTGAGTTGAGTCTCACTGCTCACATCTGGATTCTGATGGAAATAATTAGCAAAAAATTTAAGAAAATAAATTTTCCCAATGTTTAGCACACAGAAGAACAGGTTGTTTCTTTTTCCTTTGGAACTCCGTATTTGGGTCACTTGAAAACATCACTCACAAATCATGCTGTCTGAGGATTCTATGGATGTACTCCAACTGGAAAATCCTCACCCATGCTCAACGCCCAGCTTCAATGTTAACTCTTCTGAAATGTTCTCATCTGTGTGAACTTGACTGAATCACTTAGCCAGACAAGAAGGATCTGTCAGAATTTCCTTCCGTATGTTGTTCCACGTGAGACTAGGTCCTAATCATTTTGCATGAGTTTTGGATGGCTGATCAGAAGCAGAAGCCATATGCATTTTACACTCAGAAGGTCAACCAACTTCAGAGCACCAGGCACAGTTGTAGCTGACTTGCCTCATGGTCATGGGGCAGCAGCCAAACCAGCAGCAGCTCTGGTTCCCAAGAATCTTCTCTCAGTTCTTCCAATTCCTGGGTCACATGTAGGTTTAGCTCAAGGATAAAAGGCACCACTTCTCCTGCAGGATTAATGCATCTCTGAAGCTGAAGACTTGAAGCCAATGAGAGACCGACATACGTCCCGGGTCATGGGCTCCAGTCTGCCCTGCTCTCCTCCCCTTCACATCTACCCTCCTTTACCATTGTCCATCCTATTGACTCTGGCCTCCACATCCAATCTCAAAGACCAGGGGTTGGCAAACTATGGCCTGCAGGACAAATCCGGCTCCTCTCTTGTTGTTTTATATAAAGTTTTATTGGAACATAGCCACGCCCATTTGTTCATGAATTGTTAAAGGCTGCTTCTGTGCTATATTGGCAGAACTGAGTAGTTGCTATAAAGACCAAATATCCTGCAAAGGCTGAAATATTTGCTATCTGGCAGAAAAAGTTTCTCAAAGCCTTGTAAAGACAATAGCCATGCATAAACTGTTAAATCAACTCCCACAATGATGTAAGGTTGAATCTCTAAATATATATGCACAGATATAATGCACATGTGTGTACATCTGTACAAATGTTGTAAACAGGCATTTATTTATTGGTTGTTTTATTTCTATGGTCCCACCATGATTATTACACAATCGCTACTCCCTCTAGTACTTATAAAGCAGGGAAACGGAATGCCTCCCTATCCTGTTGTGCACAGTCTTTGCTATCATAGCACTTGCCATATTGTTTTGTAATTGGTTTCTGTCTCTATCCATGTAGTCTCTTTTACTAAATAATGAAGCTGTAGAAGCCTTGTTTCAATAAAGAATAATTAAGTGAATGAATAAGAAAATGAGCAAATGAATAGATGCAGAGCAGAACAAATGGATGTTTCTCTCCCCCTGGTTTGGCCTCTCTAGCTTTTGGAAATGCCCACGGTCACATACCAGCACACAGAGCCAGAGCCTGGCAGACCAATGTTTGACTCTCGGTCTTGGTACTGGCCCAGCCTGCTTAGCGAGCTGGGCCACGGGGCTCCTTCCCAAGGCAGCGCTGTCTTCCATGCCCCATAACTCGATAGGAACAAAATCCAGTTCTGGGCAGGCGATGCTCTGTTGGATGGTGGAGCCATCGGTGGCAGGCAGCCCTGAGTCACTGCAGTGGTGGTGGCCCTCTGCCAGGGGGAAGCTGGCAGGTGCTGGGGGAGGGGGCACTGGGAGGTGGGAAGAACCTGTTCTCTGCCAAGCATGTTCATGCTCAGGACCTCCGTTGATGCTTATGAGGGTGAAGGACACCCTCCTTCACCCAGAACTCCATGAGACCTAGGGTGCCTCCACGACCTTGGTCAAGTCATGTAACCTCTGTGTGTTTCTATTTCTCACCTGCCAGGCTCTGAAGCGCTACAATTTTATGATCAAGAGCTCAGCATCATCTTGACAGCCTGTGACTCCTGCTTATGCAGATTTTCTCTGCCCAACGTTGCCTCTTAAACAGAGGTCATTTCAGAGAGGAGAATGGGGGAAGGGTACATGATGACTCAGGAACTCACACCAAAAGATATTGTTGTAGATAAAAGTCAGTGTATTAGCACTGAATGAACACTTACATACCAAAATCTCTAATAAGCATTTGAACTAAGTATTGGTTGCTACTGCCTTTAGAAATTGAATTTCATATGTGTGGGCATTCATGCCAAGCACACGGGGTGTGTTGTGTGTGTATGTATATGTCTATATTCTCCACATGGAGAGAGAAAAATAAATTCAAATAAGGTGTTAATTTTTGACTGCCTTAAGTCATACATATTTCTGCATATATGCATGCAAGCCTCCATTACTAATTTTAGTACTGGTAATAAAAATAACACTAATATTTGCTGAGTACCTACGATATATCAGGCACATATATTTCATATATTTCAGTTAATCAGGTAACAACCTTTTATAGTGAGTATCATCCCAGTGTGGAAGAAACTCAGGATCAGAGAACCTAAGTGACTCACCTGCAGTCACACAGCCTGGAAGTGACAAAGCTGAAATGCCAACTCAAGTCTAGCGGACTCCAAAGCCAATGTTATTTCTGCTGTGTTAAGTGGCCCCATTGCAGTGTCTCTGAAAGGAATCCCTCTGTCTCACTGCTGCATGACCAAGTCCCTACGCCTTGATGCTAGTCTATGAGCATCATAGGTCTTGGTTAGCATCTTAGTAAGTAGATCTGGAGCTGTGACCACAGCCAGGCATTTCCGGATGATGTCTATTGCCTATAAACCAAGAGAAAGATTATTTACTGAGTTAGCATCAAAGCCATGAGGGGATGTAGGGATCAGCACACAGAATTTTCTAGGTATGGACACTGAGTCCAGAGGAGAGAACTGCTGATCCAAGTTCACATAGAGATGGAGTCATAGATGGTTCACGTAGAAAAAACTAGTTCTTTTTTTTTTCTAGCAGGTCATCTTTTTATTACACTGTCACTGTTTATTCCCTGCACTTCTGTCCTCCTCAGAAATTTTAATTAAGTGTGAGTGTAAGCGTGTATCCATGTGAGAGAGAGAGAGAGTGGGTGTGTGTATGATATTGAAAGAAAGAGATCACAGGAGAGTGCTGGCGGGGAGGAGACCAAGTTGGGGAAGCATGACAGGAAGACCAGTGTCTTTTTTAAGCCAGAGAAAGCATTTTCAAGGGACCAGAGAGGCACCATCTAAATGGTGACTTTCCATCCTTGACTGGAGCAGAAGCTGGCCTAGGAGGGCTTTTCCGAGGTCTTCTGCCACCACTTTGCAAACCTTAGAATTAAGGAAAACCCTGAATGAATGCCCTGGTGCTTTGGAGGTTGCAAAGACAAAGCATTTGTGTCCTCAGGAGCTGGAGCTGGGGCCACCACTTCCTCTCCTTTCCCATGGGAAATGGGAGCATCAACAGCCTGGAGGAGCCTCTGTGATCCTCGGTGTCTGACTCTCTGCCCCTCTCTTCCAAATGCATTTAGAATCTAATGATTCTTCTCCTGCCATGAACTGAAGTCCACCCTCCTCACACCCCCCACTCCAATCAGCAAGGATTTGTCAGTGTGAACCCTGCAAAGGGTAGGCAGAAAAAAGAATCTGAAATGGGAAGATCCCAGGGTGCGCCAGAGTCTCACCCTCCAATATAATAAATAACATGTGTGATGGGGCTGAGGGTGGGCAGGGAAAAGATGCATCATTCACTTTCATGGAGGTCACACTGCCCTTCTCTGCTCTTTTCAGAGAAAAGCTTTTTTTTTTTTTTCTTTTTTATACATGCACACTGCACTCACTCACGCATACATGCTCCCTGCAAGAAGCCGACAAAGCATTTTGGTCATCTACAGGCCACTCAGCTTCTTCAAAGTTGCGTAAGATTAAAAAAGCCTGACATATCCAATATCCCTCAGCAACTGGTTTACGTACCTGCATAGACAGATGAAAAAGAAGCTTGGGATGTATTAAAAAACATGTATGTAGATGATGGATAGGAGAGAGAGGGAGAGAGAGAATATGATACAGATTAATGTCTCGCTGTCTTTTCTGAGTCTTTGTGTTTCAGGCCAGAGTGGTGGTGCATTGGAAGGGTTCTGGAATTTCAGAACACAAAGTAGCAGTTTTAAATAATGAGAGAAGATTCCACATGGAACGCTCATCTGGCTGAGGCAGCCTGTGACTGAATAAGAGAAAAGTGCCCTAGAAGCTATTCATTACGAATTCACTGGAAGCTCTCAAACGAGGCTGGCAGAAGCTGAAATTGAAGTGGTCTCTGACCTAATTTTCTTCTGCATGAAACATCTGCATCAAGGCTCTGTTTGATGTATTCCACTTGGCTCTGTCTACGGGATTGTATCACATGGCCTCCGTGTTGCCTCCTTATTGAAAGACATTTCCAGCCTGTGCAAGGTAATGCAATGTTACTGTTACCCAAGCTAATCACTCAATGTGCTCCTAAAATAGAAACAATAGCAGTTCAGAGACAATGTTGTCTGCTGGCTGTTCTGCAGCCTGGGCTCCTGGCTTTCCAACTCAGATTTGTGGCATTTGTTCGCCTCCTGTGATTCCAAAACAAAGGAATGTGAGAAGACAGGCGAAGCCTTGCAAGATGATGTTGAAGGACCAGCAGCTTTATGTGTGAGAAGCTCCATCTTATTTGGTCCTTTGAACCACTGGCTAGGATTCTGGCATCCTTTAAAACCAGAGGCAGAGCACTGCTGAGAGATGTCTGTCTGAAGAAAAAGGAAGGGTGCCTTGATGGGGGTGTTGGATTGGATTTTTTTCTAAAAGCAGATTGACACCCTCAACTCCAAGAGACAGAATGAGACAGACAGAGGGAAATGTGTACTGAATGTGGAGTGCTTTGTGATTCTTTGGTGATCTATGAACTACTTCTAAAATTGACTTTCTCCTCTTAAGCTCTCCCAACCTAGCTAGGATGCAGGAGTGCATTTTAAAAAGCAATAAATGATAATAATCTTTCTTTCTTAAAGCAACTGTAATGAGGCATCTTCTTTATCCTGGCAGAATAGCTGTTGCCTTTCTCCATAAAGGTTTGCTGCACAGACTTTGTTAATGGTGTGCAGCTATTCCCCACCATCCCAGTATTCTGTGAATAACGGTGGTGTCTTTTGTGGCCCACCCCCTGAAGAAGAAACCTTTGAAATTCTAAATGACTGTGCTGCAGGTTTTAATGTCTGCTTCAGAGAAAGAACTGAGAAATATGCACTCACTGAGCAAGATACAGCATGCCTCAGAAAATCCTTTCTGCCTGACTCCTCTGTCCCACGAATTTAGATGAATATCATTCTTACAGATGCCCTCGAGTTCTCTTGATGCCAGGAGAGAATGACAGGTGTGATCAACAGCCTTTTTTTGCCCAAATATTGATACCCCATGGCCAAATATGTAGTCACTCCTTCCCCTTCTAGGACTTCCTAATCAAACAAAGCAATCAGTGTGGAACATCTGGGAGCCAGTGGCATCTCTGAGATCAGGTGGTGATCTGGTCCCCTGATGGGGAAGGCACAGTGGAAAGAAGTCAGCCACATGGGGGTGAACATCAGTCTGTCTATTAATGAAGTCTCCACAGAGAGCCCAGAGAAGGCACTGGAGCCAAGGCAGCAAGGTAGGCATCTTTAGTCAACTTTGAGAAGTAAAGCCAAATACACACAGACAAAACTGTAATTCAAAAAGATATGTGCACCCCTACGGTCCTACCGACACTATTCACAATAGCCAAGACACAGTATCCTCCACAAGCAGGTTCATAGCAATTGGCCTGGGACTTTGCTGGTTTTAGCATGAAAAGTTGGTGTCCTGGGAATACCTGCATTTCTGGGCTAATCACTGGGTACACAGTATGTGCTCAATAAAGGGGTCAGATGCACCTTGGTGAATAGTACTCTAGGATTCATGTGGATTACCTTGGCGATTAGTGTCCACTATCTCTCTGAGAAGCTGAAAGTGTCCAGTAAGTCTGACTCTCCCACTTGTCATTCTTACAAAGGCACCAGTTGTTATAAGGCAGAGGTGTGGGGCCAGAGAAAGAAGGAGGGAGGGAGGAAGGAGAGATGGAGAGGGTGAGAGAATGCATGAGAGATAGTTTGAAAGGAAAAGAGGAAGGAGAAGGTAAAGACAAATCTCCAGATAGCGAGTACTCGGACCTTACAGTAGAGCCACAGTCTATCATGACCTGCACGGCCTTGCATGATCTGGTTTAGCTTTCCTTTCTAATTTCATCTCCAATCGCTCCCCATGCACCTAGTCTAGCCAGAGAAGCCTCCCCACTCTTCCTCAAACACATAAGCCAGTACTAAACACTCCTGGGCTCCCCGCTACCTGGAATGTTCTATCTCCAGCTGCCCATGGGGCCTCCTTCAACTCCATCCAGGCCCTCGTTCAGAGCTCTTCCCTCCCCAGCCAGTACAAACGAGCTCTTCCCTGCCCATCTCTGTTCAGCCTTTGATCCTGCTTTAATTGTCTCCACAGCCCTCACCCCCAGCAGACACATTACGTATTTGTTTACTGTCTATTATCCATCAGCTAGTGATACTATCTAATAGAACTTTCTGCAGCATTCTATATCTGCACCCTCCCAGACCTGAGCCACTAGTCGGCTATAGCAACTAAAGGATGTGAAACTCAATTATTTGAGTACATGAAATTTGCCAGCAAAGTGGATGAGCTGAATTTTTCATTTTTTAATGTATTAATTTAATTCAAATAGCCACATGTAGCTAGTGGCTACCATTTTGGACAGTGAGGTTCCAGAAAAGTCTTTGAGAGCAGGGATTTCTTTTTTTCTATCTTGTTTCCTTTCAGGTTTCCCGGTTCCCAGAGCAATGCCAATCACATAAAAGGCCTTTCATAAGTACTTTTAAAATAAATTAATAAATCTGGGTATGGAGCAGGCCAGATTTTCTGATCAGGAAACAACCTAACGTGAGGCTGATTCTAAATTTGAATTATCCCAGGCCAAGATTCAAAATGGCAACATGACTGAAAAGACTGTTTAGATGCAGAAGTTGTCAAAAGGACTTTCTCTGATCTAATTATGTCACCTCCCTGAACCTCAGCTTCCTTATCTTTTGAGTGGAGTATAGTAGTTGCTCCTTAGTATCTAAATGAATGGTCACTCAAATAGGTACCCAATACAATCTGAGTTCTCTGGTGATGCTAAAAGCCCGTGTATGTATATGGAGCAAAGCACTTTGAACGATGCTACTTTGTGATTTTCTTACCAATGATTACTGTCGGGGAGGGGGATGATTTATTTTTATTACAAAATAAGTCTGCTTAACAGAAGAATCCACAACAGAATTCTCTTAAAACAACTAACTCCTTAATGCTTTTTAAATGAGATTATATCCTGACAAATCCAGGGGCCATGCAATTTATCACACAAAGCAAGGTTTACTTGCATTTTCAAGGATGCATTAGGGTATTCCTTTGACCTGTTCATATTCTTACATCTTTTTTCTAGGACTTTGCTTTAATTGTTGCAATCTCAGAAAGGTCTAGCATTCATTCCTTCTATTGGTTCAAGAAGTTCTTATTAAACCCCAGATGTGCTGACCACTCTTCTTGACACTGGGAATATAGTTTCACAAAATGAAAAGCTGAAAAAGATAATACATGGGAAGCTTTTAAGGTACTACCTGATACACTAAACATGCCATTAATACTAGTTGTTGTTGCTGTTTTTGTATTGGAACTCAGAGTCCAGTGGGAGAAAGAGACAAGAAACCATTAAACATATGTATGCTCAGGATTATTTTCAGTGCAATGGCAACTATAAAACAGCGTATAGCCTATAACTTTAGGGACCTCAACTGAGACTCCACCCCAAAGTGGTCTAGTGTCCATTAGGGAGTAGCTTTTCTGATCTCAATAAAGTAATAAAACCCTGTTTCTGGAATATTGTTGAGAATGCCTCAAGTGGATTATGAAAAATGCAGTCAGACCACTTAAAAGGACAGACAGCTATGATTTCAGCTTATTAGAGGAACTTCTTTTTGCCTGCTGGCCACTAAATGTTTAGTAAACGTCTACAGCCATGAGAACAAAGTGATAAAGAATTTCTAGGTCAGGGGCCTCTTCACATTGGTCAGCCAATGAAGCTGCTGCTGGAAGGAGATATTCTGTGAATGACAAGGATGAATGCAACCCAAAGATCTAGGGGCAGAGTTGATTCCATTTAGTAGACATTCATTGAGAACCTGCTTGGAACCAATATAACAGTGAAGGCAATGGAGAGGCAAGAAAGAGGGCAGGACAAGTTGTCTGCCTTCAAGGACTTTACAGTTTGTAGGGAAGCTGCCATGCTTCCCCTCACGCTGAGGATGGGGAAGGCTGTTGGAGCAAACCTGAATGAACTGAGCTGGAATTGAGATGGGCTCTCACGTCACCTCCCTCGCTGCCTCCTCTTTCTCATCCTCTGGCTCCTCCTCCCTGCCCTCCCCACCCAACACCACCCGCATTCACCCAAGCCTCCCCCAGGACAATAGAGAAGCAGCCCTCCCTGAGGCTGGGGGGATTCTCCTGTCTGCCTCCCAGCCCACATTTGCCTGGCTTTGACTTTGCTCGATGGAAAATAAATCACAGCCACTCCATTCCGAGTCGCTGTCCCCAGAGAGCTGAGACCTCACCTCCTCCCTTGGAGCCTGCCTGCAACATGGGCTTGTCAGGTACAAAGAGAAAAACCTTCAGAGATCCACACCCCGTTTGGAGAGCGAGGAGGGTCAACAGGAATAATTGCTAGCAGTTGAATGTGAGCGGCTGGAGAGAGATTGGAAGGAAAAGGTTTCAGGAGGGGAAGAAAGAAAAGGAGGGAAAAAAGCCCTCACCGCCCAGCCCCCCCTCCAACCTCCATAGTCTGTGGACGGAGAACCGCATGGTGGTCTGGGTCCTTGTAGAACATTTGTGCACCGGACAATAGCACAGCCTGGCTTCAGATCATCAGCTGCTGTTTTCTGGTTAGCTGTCCCTTTATGTGAGTGCACAATGCGAGCCTTCAGTCACTGTGACTCTTGAGGAATACATCTGGTTTTTCCTTTCAGACGCTCTGAAAAGGTCAGCCTGTTCGTTTCTTAGACGCGAGACACCGCATCTTTTTTTCCCTCTCTCTCTCCCTCTGAACTGGAAAGACAGACCTACACCTTTTCTTGCCTCCTGGTACATAATTAGACATGGTGCGGTTCTAGAAGCCAGTCAGCCAGCCAGCCCATCCTCCGCACTCTCTGAGAGAGACTCACAGCCCAAACTCCCTGCCTCCCAAACTCCTAGGCTCTTCACAAAGCTCTGAAGGGCCCTCCATCCCAAGCCCACTCCCTGGGGTTCTCTGCTTGCTGTTTTGTTAATTACAAGGATCCCATGCCCTCTCCTCAATCTGCTCCCCCGGCACGGTTTATGACCAATGCTACCTCTGTCAGAGGGATGGTTTGAGAATTTCTGGGGAAAAAAAAAACCAAAAACCAACATTTTAATCATTTTCACTCGAGTGATGGTAAAGATTCTTCATGCGCATTGTAACATCATAATAAATGTGCCCATGAGGAAAGAATGATCAGCAGCTGGTGTCTGACAAATTATCTCATTCCAGACAGGCAAACAGTCCACAGTGGGGAGAGGCCGGAGAATGAAGAGGCAATTTGGCACACGATCGGGGTTTCACCTCTCGAATGATGGAGGTCCAAAAGGCCCACTGTGTCTGGGCCTGGGCCTCGGAGGTTTTCTCTGGCTCCTCTGTTCTCTCATCACCTCCCGGAGCTCCTGACAGCCATGGAAAAGGGGATTACTCTCTGGGCTCAGCCAGCCCATCTCCTGCCACCCCCCACCCCCAGGGCACTCATGTTCCGGCCATAAGAAGGAATTACAGTCCACCCCCCGCCATAAGCCATGCTCTTTCATGCGTGGTGCATGTTATTTCCTTCTGCCATCACACCCTGGCCCCATCTCACACTCGTAGGTCACGTTCAAAACCCTTCTAGGCTCCTTCTCACTCCACTACAGACTCTCTTCTGGAAGTCTCTAGCACCTTTTCCTAGGAATTTTAGCATACCGTTGTATGGTTATACTTTTTGGCAGCCGCTATCATGTGTTTTTAATGAACCCTGAGTTTTAGGTATTGTTCTAAGCACTTTTCTTCTGTAACTGGTTAATCCTCACCCACACCCACCCCCTGGCCTAAGAGGGAGGACTCCTCCCCTTTTTATAAGGAGGAAACTGAAGATTTATTTATTTTGCATCCTTGGCCCCAGCACATTCCCTGGGTGGTGAAGCTAGAGAAGCCTGGCCTCACCTCTGCTCCTGGCACTCTAGGACCTCACAGGCTCATTTCCACTTGCCATGATGGCTTACTATTATAAGGTTCCAAAGGCCACACACTTTGTGTTGTTCTCAACATAGATTCCATCTGTGAATTTATTTTTGGTGATTTTTTTTTTTAATGCCAGAATCCTTCCAGAGAGAATGCTCCCTGAGGGCCAGGATGCTACCTACCTTGTTCACATGTACATTTCTAGTAACTAGAACAGTATTTGTCACTCATTAGGAGCATAATACATTTTCTGATGAGTGGATGAGGAATGAATCAAGCAATATTAAGACATAGAAACATGATCTGCA